CCAAATGTTACGTATGCTCAGATAGCAAACGGTAACAGTAACGCAAAACAATAGAAGAACTCAAACAAACCCAGACTCAATTATCAAATGTAAATAACAACAATCATCTGGAAAACATGATGACATAGCTAATGCAAAAAATGGACACGATGCTAAATCTGCTTACTTCGTTAGTAAACAAGATCAAATGAATACCGCATTAAAAGTAGCAATTTGGAACGCTAACGGTTTAGTGCAAAAAAGTCACCAACTGAAACCGTTTCTTGTAGTGAATGAAAATGATATAATGATGATATCAGAAACTCACTTCCCACATAAGAACTGTATGAAAATTCTACAGTACTCATTTTATAATACAAATCATCCTGATGGTAAAGGATACGGAGGAATAGCTATGATAATTAAAAACAGTATCAAACACCACGAAGGCGAAGCATACAAATATGATCATATACAAAGTAACAAACGTTATAATTGAAAATAAATTGGCCCAGTCTTATTCTTTGTCATATACTATCCCTTCAAACACACTATTACAAAACAACATAACAAAAATTATTTTGACAGCCTAGGAAATCGTTTTGTCGCAGGAGGTGCAATGCAAAATGTGGTGGGGGTCACGATCACTAACTCCAAATCCAAAAGGAGCGAATCTTTATTCAGTAATGCAATCAGAGAACCTCACACCAATATCCATCGGCGAACCTATATACTGGCCCTCAGACACTAATAAACTACCTGATCTAATAGATTTTGCAAGTATTAAGGGACTGTGCCCCAAATAACTAATAGCTAAATCGTGCCTAGAACTAATCTCAGATCACTCTCTTATTATAATACACTATGACTCAATAATTAAACTTCACACGAAGAATAGACCACTTTATCATAAAAAACAAACTGGCATACATACAGAGATATATTAAATGAAATATAAACTTGTAAAATAACAGTTAAAACCTAACAAGACATAGATACTGCCTTATTAAATCTAAATTACAACATCCATCAAGCTATTAATACTACGATTCCTAAACACACAACAAACAGAAAATCGAATATATTCATCTCCATAACGGTATTAGATAAATTAAAAGAAAAGAGAAAACTAAGGAAAATATGGCAAAAGAGTAGAGAACAATCTAATAAAATAAAATATAACTGTGTAATAAAAGAACTTCAACAAATTATTATTGATGAAACAAATGCAGAAATAGAAAATTACCTCGAAAACCTATCTGCTACAGATGCTTCTGACATTTCTCTTTGGAAATTCTCTTTGGAAAGCTACAAAAAATCAAACAACCTAAAAAATTTTCTCCATCTATACTAAAAAACAACATAACATGAACAAAAATAGATATCAATAAAGCAAAAACTTTTGCAAAGCATTTTGAACAAGTGTTTACCCTACTACAACGTAATTTATTGACTGAAGAAGAATCCATGATGTCAAATAGCTCGAAAAATAAAAACAGCAAGAACTATTTATTCAATAATGTTAAAATTACTGAAAAAAAAGACATAATCACCAATCTAAAAAATAAAAAGAGCCCAGAATACGATAATAAAAGCGAATAGATGAATAACTATACTAATAAACGCAATATTTCGACTATTATACTTTCCCGCTGATTGGAAAGTGGTAACTACTCGTATTATACTCATTTCTAAACTAGGAAAATTAGCCGATCATGTCACATCATACAGACCAATCAGCCTAGTTTCCACATTCCCAAAAGTTTGTGAAAAAATCTTAATAAAAAGATTAAACAAAGCACTAGTGGAGCAAAACATAATACCTGTTCACCAATTTCGATTTCGTAACAACCGCGCAACAATAGAACAAATAAACAGCCACCACTACGAGGGTCGTTTGAAAAGTCCGTGCAAAAATAAAAACTGCTTGATTTTTTTTAATAAATCTTTTTTATTTTTCAACATAGTCTCCTTTTAGGCTTATACACTTCATCCAACGCTACTCTAGTTTGTTAATCCCTTCCAAATAATAGGATTTATCCAAGTCTGTAAAATAGGCATTCGTTTCTGCAATCACCTCCTCGTTTGAATAAAATCTTTTCTCCTCCAGCCATTTTTTCATATTAGGGAACAAATAGTAGTCCGACAGAGCCAAGTCTGGAGAATAGAGAGGATGTCAAACGAGTTGGAACCCTATCTCCATCAGTTTTGCGGCCACAACTGTTGAGGCCTGAGCTGGCGCATTGTCGTGGTGGAAGAGGATTTTTTTGTGGGACAATTGTGGATGTTTCTCTAGCAACTCGGATTTCAAACGATCTAATAACGATGATTGATATTCGTCTGTAATGGTTTTACCCTTTTCCAGATAGTCGATGAAGATTATTCCTTGCAAATCCCAAAAGAGTCGCCATAACCTTCCTAGCCGAAGGAATTGTCTTCGCCTTTTTCGGAGCAGATTCCCCCTTGGTCACCTATTGTTTAGACTGTTCTTTGGTCTCAGGAGTGCAGTGAAGTATCCATGTTTCATCTACAGTGATGAAACGACGCTTAAAGTTTTGCAGATTTTGCTGGAACAGCTGCAAACCATTCTTGCAACACTTCACACGATCTCGTTTTTGGTCAATCGTGAGCAATCGCGGCACCCATCTAGCGGATAGATTTTTCATGTCCAAATGTTGGTGCAAAATATTATGTACCCATTCGCTCGAGATGCCTATAGTACTAGCAATGTCACGCACCTTCACTCTTCTGTCAGCCATCACCATATAATGGATTTTATCAATGATTTGCGCCATTTCTCTGACTTTGCACGGACTTTTCAAACGACCCTCGTATAATCAGAAATCCTTTCGAATAAAACGAATACTGTAATGTCGTATTTACTTCCCACTTGATTTTATTAGACGCCAGCTACCGTCCTCGCGTTAGGAGGAGGGGTAGCGCTGCAGGTCGGCTGATTCTGGTCGCTGAATGTCGGGTAGCTTGTCGTTTCTCTGCACACTGACCTCGCTGGTCACCTATAAATGGGAAAAAGGGGCGCAAAGACCTATCTTACGTGTGAAGAGAAATACGGGTGGCGGCTAGACAGAAATGTCGGGGTAGGGACTCTTTTCAGGAGCGGGTCTTCGGAGCGGCGTTTCAAGCCCGATATCAGCAATCTGGGGATGGTGAAGAGTAGTAAGGGGCTATATCTCACGCGCATACAAAATCGCATCGCAGCGACGACGCGCTAGCCGGTTTCGCGTTACCCGATCGCGTTAGCTACGGGGAAATGCGGATTTTCAAGGAAAGGTTGAGTCAAGGATAACACAAGTTCACGGAAATTATTATTTATTAACTAGTCGTGAACGATCTCCTCCAGTCAGTCCAAGGTTGATCCTCTGGTAGACACAACGGTGTTTACCTACGACAATCTACCTAATGCCCACATTCCACTGCGTATTTCGCGAATGACGCACCACGACCCGATAGCGATCTACCCTTGCGGCGAGCGCGGCTCGGGTCAGAAATCGATGAGGAAACGAAGGGAATTGAAAGAAAATTAAATGAACCATGGCCACACAAAGGTCTCGCGCACTCCCGTTCACTCGCGGGTCATGTATCGACGTCGCGGAGCTCACAATGAGCGGTCAAGCGATCACTTCCGTTTATTTGCGGGTCATCAGCGGTAACGCGAAGGTCAGGCGGCACTACGGTTGCTTGGCAGCGGTTTCGGTTGTGGATGGGCACGAAGCGAAAAGAAAAAGAAGGAGGGTACTCACTCTTTATTTCCACGGTTCCTTTGCCCTACACTTTATTCGCGGCTCACGTACTAATGCCTCTGCTGCTCCGGTACTATTTCCTCTGCGGCTCAGATCCCACTTTCTCTGCTACTCCGGTACTACTTCCTCTGCGGCTCAGATCCCACTATCTCTACTGCTCCGGTACTATTTCCTATGTGGCTAAGATCCCACTTTCTCTGCTGCTGCGATACTATTTCCTCTGCGGCTCAGATCCCACTTTCTCTGCTGCTCCGATACTACTGCCGCGGCTCGCGCGGCATCGCGTCGCGTTCCTCGATTACCTCCCTTACAGTCGCGGGTTTTTATTTGATTGGTCTAAATTGTTGTCAAGTCGATTATCAGCGCCGTCTATAATAGTCTTTTAGCCAGCGCAATTTTATTACTGGTCAGATTTTAGCGCCTAGTGTCCTTATTTGTTGGTTAAGTGGCGTCGGTTTTACACTTATCGTCAGCATACCCCTATCCTATTTCCTATAGTCGTGCGCGTTGGTCAGTTCCGCGTCGTTATCACCTATCCTTTATGCGCATACGCTTGTTAGCCCCAGCGTCCGCCCCTACGTGAGTATCGGTATTGTCTATCCCGCTTATACGCACGCTCTACGTTATTTCCCCGCTCGCGCCCGATAGCTCTCCTATCGGTCGTTTTACTTGCACTCATACGCTGACTCTCTCTCTCCTTTCCCCACTCTCGGTCTGGCTCAAGCTTGCTACCGAGCACGTCGTAACATGGCCGCCGCTCAGCTAACGCATTAGCATCGCGTCCCGTTGCCGTTATATACACCCGTTGAGGTTAATCGTGTGTATGTGTGTGTTTCGGAAGCTTCTTTGAGTGTGCTAATTGGTTGACTAGCGGTGTTAGTGCGTGTATGCGGTGCTCTTCTTGTAACTTAGCCAGCAGGATCAGTTGATATCGGCTGCGACCTTTTTCGTCGCCTGGCTTCCTGGGAAAGTCCGGGTTCCTGTATGTGACAGTGTGTGTGCGGGGATATAAGGGTCGTGCGTATCGATTTGGACGGGTCCTGAGAGGTGTTTTTCGCGAGGTGTCGGGGTTGTTCATATGCGCTTATGTGAGCTAAGCGGCATCAGCTGATCGGGCGTCTGCGTCCTCTTGTCGTAAGAGGATTTCGCGCGAGCCCTGTAGGTCAGGCTTTTTACGTGATGACATATCATCACAATTGATAAGAACAAATAAACTCGATTTAGCTTAGTAAATTAATTTATTAATACATTTTATTTCAGAAAGCTGACTTTGCCATATGCGATTTGACAATTACATCGGAGAGACAAAGTGCTGTGGACTTTACGGCACCATTTATGAATCTTGGTAAGTAAACGCTTTATTTTCATAACAATGGCAACAACATTAAGAAAAATATATATTCCACATATTTAAACATTTCCAAAGCTTAATTTTATTATTATAATTAATAAATTACTACAGTATTATAACGAGTTAAATGTCATTCGTTATCTCTCTCCCGATTAGTACGATGTTTTAGTTCTATATATATTGTAACGATATTACAAGAATTTGTTATAAAAATTTAATTCGAACTCTAAGATAGTACAACGGTAATCGATTATATAATTCGATTCGTTCGCAATTCTGGAGCGCTCGAGGCGTGCGAGCTAACGATTCGGAAGTCGGATTTCGGTGCGCGGAAAGTATCAGTTAATAGCGTCTTAGCTGGCAACCGGTGCACAACTGAATCTTCGGGACCGGGTTTTCTGGCTCTGATATCGAGGTGTTGTGGAGTATGAAGATGGAGATGGCCACAACAGTGGAAGGAAGTCAACGACAGCAGCTTGCAGCGGCGTTGAGCGACATCGTTGACAGCTTTAGCGGCATTGGCAACGGCTGTCGCAGTAGTACCCATAAAAATCAGGAGCTTCTAGCTATCCGCAACTTTCCGAACGGTTGATCACTGTAACCGCAACTTACGGTAGGTGCACCCACCCTAACCATGACTTACACATATTACTAATCCAATCAAAAGGATTATCATATTATCCATCGTGTTATGTTCTTATTTTATCTTTGCCTGCAGTATACTAGGTTTCCAGAAATATTTGAACAGATTTTATTTAGGGGATTGTAAGAGGTAAATAACAGTCTCTACACACCGCAAGAATCATAAGACAGGTGACTTGAGGTGAGTTCAACTGAGGGAGAAGTTGGATCTTGTATCAATCGTAAAGGAGGATTCACGTATACTCATACGTAAATAACAGAGTGGTGGTTAGCTTTGCACAGTGGGATATTGAACCACCATTTTCTCCGTTTGCACGACTAAATTCGCCCCTGTTACAATAGATTCTAAACTAAATTCATACGAATAGGCAAGAATAATTGAAAATAATAAATATACTAATTGTTAAATGGTTTACTGGTATAGATTAATGTGTTTTTACGGGAACGTCAAACATATCTACTAAAACTTTTGGGAATTCGCTATTTGAAGTAAAAGTCACGAGAATAACACTCCTCGATGATGGCGAGACGGAAAGTGAGCAAACCTCAATAACAATTAGAAATATTGTTAATTGAGTAGCGGGCTAAGTCCAAGTTGACACGGTTTGTCCCAGTGATACATGGTTTGAAATTCTACTAATGTAAGTATTGTTGCATCTATCTGGGAAAGATTAGACAATGTCGCAACAACGTCTTAACCAAATTTCTAGGTTAGAATAATAAAATTGAAAGACGAAATTATCTAAAGCTGTTTTTTCTAATAAAAAAGAAGATATTATGAGTTGAGCTTTTAGATAATCATGCAGAATAGGAAAATAACAAGGTTAAATATTACGCTGACACAATAAATACAATAGCTTAAAGACAAAACTTTACATTTAATAGACCGTTAATTAATAAATAACAGATAGTACAAATAATATCGTGAATTTATTTTTTATTGCAACTTACACAACGAATTTACACATTACTTTTACATCCAAATGTGGATGCTGTTAATGCAGTCAAAACCGCCTGCGCAAAGTTTTTGTTCGCAGGTTCGAACTAAGAGAGGAGTAGGAGTTCGATCCAGTAAATATTGGCCATAGTGTGGCATATCGGTCAGTGAATACAGAAGGCTACTCGGCTACTATGCATACAACCTTTGTGCACAGAAATATTGAAATAACAGAAGGAGATTATAAACTTTAGTTTTCTGGGGACTCCAGGAAGAATATCGAGAAGTTCTTAGAGAATTTCGAGGAATATTGATGATGAATCGAATTTCATACTAGGAGCTTTTGGATATTTCGATTATTTGCTTCAATAAATTTATTTTGTTTTGATATCATACGTTGAGACTGACTTGGAATACGGCGGACAGAAGTAGCTCTGAAGATGTACAGCAAATCATGGTGGAACAAAAGTAATTATTTAATGGTTGAAGCTCACCGATGTTCAGACGAGGAAATACCTGCAGTACTCTCGTCATTGCGCACGGGAGAAGCGGTATCACTTACCTCTTTTAGTATTGAGGACATTACAACGTGCCATCTCAAAGAGATTAAAAGAATAATAAGTGAAATCATAGTACAGCTTCTGTGCGAGCATTAGGCTGCACGAAGTGGATACATTATGATACTGACTTCGATAGTGCGCACCTAATCAAACAGCGTTATTACCTTATTTCGCTGAATATTGAGGCCTAGATACACAACGAAGTATACAAGACGCTGAAAGCAGGAATCATAAGAAAGTTCAAGAGAGAATGAAGCTATGATGCGTAAGCCAGATTTTGCATTGTGTCGGAATATAAATGCAGTATTTCGCGTCAACGCATATCAATTACTTTATATCAATGTAATTTTGCACAAGTTGTAGCACGCAAAGGTGTTCAGGTACATTTTTGCAAATATCTCTTACCGAACGCTCGATTTCAATTACAGCATTTATTGTTGTGTGCATAGAACTCTTTAATGTGGTGAGAGTCCCTATGAACTCACGGAGGTCCCAGCAATATTTCGAATATTGATAGATAAGATAATTACGTTTGAGATGGGACCCTATACATTGGTATATCTAGACGATGTGATCGTTGGAACTGAGCTTTTTCGAATTACATGAACTGACTGCGGCTTATTCTTTAAAAATAAATGTAACAGGTCTGAAATATATCTGAAGTTCATTACCTCGGCCAGTTAGTAAATCACGAGGACACACATTCTGATTCCGAAAGAGTTCTTCTCATTCTTGAATACCCAGCTTCAGAATCTCAAGAAACTGTGGAGATTTCTGAAGATAACCTCAGATTTTTCCGTGTAATATTTCAAGGACTTTTTGAGGATCTTTTCGTGAACTATTTCGAGTACTTTTTCGAGGAGTGTTTTGAGGACTTTTTCAAGGACATTTTCGTATCTTTTTTTGAGAATTTTTTGTATACTATTTCAAGGACTATTTTGAGGACGTTTTCGAGAACTTTTTCGATGTCTTTTTGATGTACTTTTACGAAAAGTTTTCCGACGACTTTTTTAAGACTTTTCCGTGTACTTTTTTGAGGACTTCTTTGAGATCTTTTTCGTATAATTTTTCGTGGGCTTTTTTGGGGATGTTTTCGATGACTTTTACGTATACAGTTCTAAGAATTCTTTTGAGGACTTTTTTCAGGAATTTTCTGTGTGCTACTTCAAAGACTATTTTGAGAACGTTTTTGAGGAATCTTTCGAAGATTTTTTAGAAAATTTTTTCGATGACCAAGATGCTCTATCAGGTTGGGTTGGGTTGGGTTCATTATTTAAGCTGGGAAACCATTTTACCTTCTTGGTAATTTTGTCCTGCTCTGCTTTGATCCGGTTTGTTTTTCGTTTGCTTTCCTTTGATTCGAGTAGATTGTTTATTTTTTGTTATTTTCTCCGCCCGTTTATACTGATATAACTGCGCATTTACTCGATCATTAAACATCTTGTCGATTTCTTATACGAATTGCTGCGCAAACAATCTCACCGCCATTGATTCTTTGATCCACTGAAAAGAAAAAGAGAAATGACAATTAAAATCATAATAAAAATATAAATTAATATAATTTTATATAAATCGATAATGATAATACGTACTTGTTGAACTTATCATAGCTTTTATAGCTTTCATATGATACAACTGAATGGCTTGCGATGTTTTGTCGCCTGTGAGTCTAAGCACCTGAAAATTACATATATTATATATATATATATATATATACACTACCGTCCATAAAGATTTGCCATACCCTTGCTGAAATCATCAAAACTTTAGAGTTTTATGGCTCAGTTTCTATAAGAGATAGAAAATCCTGCGGAGTCTCATTTGAAAGGTCTTGCCAAGACCTTTCAAATGTTGTAAAACATAATTGATTTTATTTGTTTTTTGTACAACTTGTGACGTCATAAACAATTTTTTTTTTTTTGAATTTTTTCACATTAACTTCGACCCCGATTTATTTATATAAGGGATTCTAAGATGGAAAAACTGTATAAGCCATTCGATAGAGCTTTCAAAAAGCTACAAAATCCATATCCGGAAAATTTTTTTACCTTTATTTTTTATGAGCTATATGGTGTTTTATACAAAAACAAAGATTTTCAAAAAATTGGCTGTATTTTTTTTATTTTCAACTCTAAAGAAAAAACTCTCAGAAGAAAAAATGTAGTATTTTGCAAGAGCTATCAAATGCTCCACTCAGAATTTAAAAAAAAAAATTTTTTTTTTCACGTTTTTTACAATTGAAATTTTTCTAGAAAAAAAACTAAAATTACATATATTTAATAAAATTAGTAAGTAACTAGAATTTATAACTGAATGGGCTTACAAACAATGATAACAAGATACATTTATTGAACCATAATTTATTACTTACTTAGAATAGATTAACATAATTTGGTTACAATTTTTCTACAAAATTTATTTATTACAACGTTTCAATAATAACATAACAATAATAATTTCATTTTTTATAATACTAATAACGCTTGTAATTAATATATTATCACAATCTGAATATAAATTTCAGTAGTAAACAAAAACAACCCAATACTAATTATTTAAACGTTTTTTTCATCGAAATGTCCACCTTTGTTTGCTATAACTACTTTACAAATTCGAGGCATTCGTGCTACAAGTTTCTCTAAAGTTTCTGCACTTATTTTTTTCTACTCATTTTCTAAGATATTCCAAAGATCCTTCTGGGAAGTAGGTCCTACCTTCCTTACAGCTCTATCTAGATCATCCCACAACAGTTCGATAGGGTTAAGATCAGGAGAGTACGATGGCCATTCCATCAAAACTAATTTTTTTTTCTTCTTCAATTGAGCAAAATCACTTTTACATAACTTTGAAGTATA